AACTGAGGGAGGATCAGGAAGGTCCCTCCTTTATTCTTTAGCTTGCTGATTAGTAACAAGCCTCTCCACCAAGTTATAAAGACGATCAATATCTTCCCGTAATGATTCTATTTGAGAAGATCTGTTCATAGGGGGACATTCCCGCCTCAATTTTTGTTTGCCTACATCACCAAACAAAAATTTTAAAGATTTACCTTTTTGAAATTATATTCTTAACGATAATCTTATCCTTAAGTCTTATGTGTAAGGGATGATTTTGAGGAACATGGGCTCTGATACTAATGTAACGACACGACTCTCGTCTAAAATCCTGACCATATGCCCACAAATGTTATGATAAAATAATTAATAAAAATACTTCGTGCAGCAAATCTTAAAATAATAAAAGTACATCCCTTGCATATTTAGCTCAAAGTATCTAATACTCATGAATTCTGTCCACACTCTAAAATAAAATACTTACTACAAATAAAATAATTAATATTAAGTACTTGTTCGAATTAAAATAAAAATTAAACGATCTTCTAGCAACTCTCTCACTGTTCAGGAATGGAATTTTGAATATCCTAATCTGAAAAAAAATGAATAATAAATAGGGTGAGTTTGATATACTCAGTAAGCGTGTAAGTACCACAAACAATAGAGTAATCCATTTAAGTTGGTAGAAAATATAAAATTACCGACAGAGAGAGTTTGAAACAACTTTCTCTTTAGTTCAGAAAAATGTGATATTTACACTCTAATTCATTCACTAAACCTTATAAATCAGTTTGCTCAGGAAACATCAAAATTTAGTATCAGATAAACAGTTCAATAAACATCAGAGTTCAGTGTTCTAGTATCACAAGCTTTACACATAAATTATATATATTCATATTAATTTACATCCTTTTAAGAATGGTTTCATTTTATTTAACAATATTACCACTGTTGATTATTTTTATTGCTTCATCTCTTAAGTTTCATCGTGCAATGCCATTTCCGCCTATATCATCAAGGGCATAACAAATCTCCTTTACCACGTAGATACCAACAGATAACATATTCTCATTTTTCGAAGGGTTATAGGCAACAGATAACAGATTCCCAACCAAAATGTCTTATATGAGACTTTTCAATCACGTCTGACTGAGGTCGTATCCCTGGGTAGGGTTCACCCAGATCACCCGTCAAATTGGCCACACATGCACACATCCCCCTTTGATACCAGTTACATGAATTTTTTAAGTCTTTTAATATTTATTTATTTATTTATTTCAACTCGCTAATAAATTCTCTAATTTTATCATTTAATATTTCTTATACATGTAACACACATATTGTAAATATTCATCACCCTCGACTCTTCTACGTATCTTTAATATATTCACAATCACATAGCAACCAGTACATATACGAACTCAGTTACAAAACATAGCAGAATAATTCATCAGTAATTTCATAAATAAACATAAATAAAAACACAACTATTAATAATAAAATTTTGCTCGAATCTTGCGCCTAATTATCAATTATTAAATTAATTAACTCGAATCACCTACCGAGCATCGTTAATTAATTGCTTAAACAAATCAAACTACATTTGTAGCACAAATGCATTTACTTGATTTTCGTTTACGGATCTACTTCGTAGAAGAGTTCCTAAATGTCAAATACAATCATGCGTAACCACCGAAAAGATGCGACGTTGCATGTCTCCACACGATGTCACCAAAGCGTATACACACCACCACTAAAAACTATCATGCACCGCCGCCGGACCACCGCATGCCGCCACGAACCGCTACGAATTGACCAGAACTCACCATGAAATGCTTCGTTCCCTCTGGTCCAGCGTAGATATGGTGAAATTACACCGAAAGAAGCCGCGAAACAGCAAAAACATGCGTCGAGT